CAAAACCCAAAATCAAATCCCCCAAAATCCCCAAAAAAATTAAAAAAAATAAAAAAAATTAAAAAAAATTAAAAAAAATCAAAAAAAATCCAAAAAAAAATCCAAAAAAATTCCAAAAAATTCCCAAAAAATTCCCCAAAATTCCCAGGATTCTTACACTGCTCCTCCTTGGTGTAGTAGTACTCCTTGTCGATGAGCACGTGGCCCCCCGAGGTGTGGGCCAGCAGCTCGAAGGAATTCATCACCTCGATGTTCCGGCCCTCCTGGCGCCCGATCAGAGCCCCGATCACTGCGGGGGGAAATTGGGGAGGGGTCTGGGGGGGCTTTGGGGGGGATTTGGGGGGTCAAATCCCGGTTTGGGGGGATTTGGGGGGTCCTGGGGGGGATTTGGGGGGTCCTGGGGGTGGTTGGGGGGTGCTGGAGGGGATTTGGGGGGTCCCAGAGGGGATTTTGGGGGTCTTGGAAAGCATTTTGGGGGTCCTGGACAGGATTTGGGGGCATTTGGGGGGTCCTGGAGGGGATTTGGGGATCCCTGAGGTGATTTTGGGGATCCTGGAGGGGATTTTGGGGATTCTGGAAGGGATTTTGGGGAGCCCGGAGGGGATTTTGGGGTTCCTTGAGGTGATTTTGGGGATTCTGGAAGGGATTTTGGGGAGCCTGGAAGGGATTTGGGGATCCTGGAGAGGATTTTGGGGTTCCTTGAGGGGATTTTGGGATCCAGGAGATGATTTTGGGGTTCCTGGAAGGGATTTTGGGGATCCTGGACAGGATTTTGGGGATCCTTGAGGGGATTTTGGGATCCAGGAGATGATTTTGGGGATTCTGGAAGGGATTTTGGGGTTCCTGGAAGGGATTTTGGTGATCCTGGGGGTGATTTTGGGATCCAGGAGATGATTTTGGGGATTCTGGAAGGGATTTTGGGGAGCCTGGAAGGGATTTGGGGATTCTGGAAGGGATTTTGGGGTTCCTGGAAGGGATTTTGGGGATCCTGGGGGTGATTTTGGGGTTCCTGGAAGGGATTTCGAGGATCCTGGAGAGGATTTTGGGGATCCTGGGGGTGATTTTGGGGTTCCTGGAAGGGATTTTGGGGATCCTGGGGGTGATTCTGGGGTGATTTTGGGATCCAGGAGATGATTTTGGGGATCCTGGATGGAATTTTGGGGATCCTTGAGGTGATTTTGGGGATCCTTGAGGTGATTTTGAGGCACCAGCATCTCCCAGCAGAACCCCCCCCCCCCCCCGAGTCCCTTTCGGGAACACTTTGTGAAGTTGTGACTGGAATTTGAGGAATTGCTGGGAATTGCTGGGAATTGCTGGGAATTGCTGGGAATTGCTGGGATCTCACCCTGCCCGTTGCGGCCCTCCTGGGAGCGCAGGCGGATCCAGTGGTCGGAGATGTTGAGGATGACCAGGGGGTGCAGAGCCACGGAAACGCTGCCGGTCACTCCTCCGGCCATCACCTGCGCCACTGCCGGGCCACATTCCCGGGATTTGGGGATATTCCCCAAAATCCCCAAAGGATTTGGGGCCATTCCCAAAAATTCCCGGGGATCTGGGGCCATTCCCAAAAATTCCCGGGGATCTGGGGCCATTCCCAGTGGTTTTGGGGCAATTCCCGGGGGTTTTTGGGGTCATTCCTGGAGGGTTTGGGGCTGTTCCCAAAAATTCCCGAGGATCTGGGGACATTCCCGAAAGTTCCCAAAGGATTTGGGGCCATTCCCAAAAACTCCCGGGGATTTGGGGCCATTCCCAGTGGTTTTGGGGCAATTCCCGTGGGTTTTGGGGCAATTCCCGGGGGTTTTTGGGGTCGTTCCTGGAGGATTTGGGGCCGTTCCCAAAAATTCCCAAAGGATTTGGGGCAATTCCCAAATTTCCCGGGGATTTAGGGCAATTCCTGAGGGATTTGGGGCCATTCCCGGGGGTTTTTTGGGGTCATTCCTGGAGGCTTTGGGGCAATTCCCAAAAATTCCCAAAGGATTTGGGGCCATTCCCAAAAATTCCTGATGGATTTTGTGGCAATTCCTGAGGGTTTTGGGGCAATTCCCGGGGGATTTCGAGGCTCTCCCTGGGATTTTTCCCCTCACGATTTGTCCCTTCCCGGTGCCGCTCCCGTTATTCCCAGCACCATTCCCGCCGCTGCCTGCCCCACCCCCCGTTATTCCCGGGGCCATTCCCGGTGATTTTGAGGCTCCCCCTGGAATTTTTCCCCTCACGATTTGCCCCTTCCCGCTGCCCTTCCCGGTGCCGCTCCCGTTAACGCCGCCGCTCTTCCCGCTGCCCCCGCCCTCACCTGCCCCATCCACCTCCATCCCGCCGTTGTTCCCGGTGTTCCCGGTGCCGTTCCCGGTGCTCCCGGGGCCTCCCCCGCTCCCGGCGCCTCCTCCGCAGGAGCCGCCGCCTCCCGGCGCCGCCGCCGCCATCTTGGCGCCCTCACCGGGCAAGCGTAGGGGAGGAGGGGGCGGAGCTCGAAGAAAACGCGAGTTGATTGGACAACGCTCCGAAGGGGCGGAGCTTTTTTGAATCCTTTACTTTGATGCGGAGTTTTGATTGGGCGATGCTGAAATGGGGGTGGCTTAAAAAAGGCGGGACGACAGAGCCGAGTTTTGATTGGTCAATGCTTTAATGGGTGGGGCCCCGAGGGGCGGAGCTTTGCAGCCGCGCATGCGCGGTGAGGGAAGGCGCTCCCAGTTCCTTCCTGAAGCTCCCCCGTTCATCCCAGTTCCAAATCTCTCCCAGTTTATCCCAGTCCTCTGTTAACGTCTCCCAGTCCACCACAGCTCCCTCCTAACGTCTCTTAGACCTTCCCCAGTCCTTTCCTGTCCATCCCAGTTCCCTCCTGAGACCTCCCAGTCCATCCCAGTTCCCTCCCAGTTCATCCCAGTCCCCTCCAGTCCCCCCAAAATGCCCCAGCACTGCCCGCAGCGCTACGTAAACGGCGTAAGGAGCGCACGGCCGCCCTCAGCGCTACACAAACGGCGTCCGGTTCATCCCAGTCCCCACCCAGTTCATCCCAGTCCCCTCCCAGTCCACCGTAAAGACCCCGCCGCTGCCCTCAGCGCTACGGGAACGGCGAACGGACCCGGGGAACGGTAATGGCGGAGCGCTACGCAAACGGCGCACGGTTCCCGCCGTTGCCCTCAGCGCTACGCAAACGGCGTAAAGTTCCCGCCGCTGCCCTCAGCGCTACGCAAACTGCGCACGGCTCCCGCCGTTGCCCTCAGCGCTACGCAAACGGCGTAAAGTTCCCGCCGCTGCCCTCAGCGCTACGCAAACTGCGCACGGTTCCCGCCTTTGCCCTCAGCGCTACGCAAACGGCGCACGGTTCCCGCCGTTGCCCTCAGCGCTACGCAAACGGCGCGAGGAGCGCGCTCTGCCCGCTCCGGTTCTCCACGGAAACAGCGCAAAACCTTCCCCAGCCTCCGGTACCGGCGGTGGCGGGAGGGTCCCGGTAACCGGGGGAGGAGGGGTCCCGGTTACCGGGGGAGGAGGGGTCCCGGTAACGGGGATCGCGAACTACCGCGCGCGATGACGTCATTCAGCCGAGCCGGGGGGCGTGGCCAGATGAAAAGGGGGCGGAGCCAGCGCTGAGGCGGACGGAACCATTGTGAGAGGAAAAACGGGGGGGGGGGCGCAAAAAAGACCCCAAAATGGGTCTGGGGGCGGCACCGAACCCCCCCAAAATGGGTCTGGGGGCGGCACAGGAACCACAGAGACGCCGCGAGTGGGGACCAAGGGCTTTTAAAAACACGGGGGGGGGGGGGGGGGGGGGGGGGGGCCCCACACAGCC